TGAGTGAGTGAGTGAGTGAGTGTGTGTGTGTGTGTGACGATCCTCATGACATCTGCTGGAGGCTCGTCCTCCTCGACTCATTTCTGCTGATTCGGAGGCAGCCTCGTGCTGCGCTGTGATTGGTCAGTCTGTGTCCGGTAGAATCCCTGAGTCTGAGCGAGAGATGCTGCGTCTCTGAGCTCTTCTCGTCTCTCTCCTCTGTGCTCAGATGTGCTTCTGCTGCTCGAGCACCATCAGCAAACGTATCAAACCGGAGAGTCGTCCAAACACAGAGCTCAAAGTACTGTGTACTGTTTTAATGCATGTTCTATAGCGTGAAGGATTCATCAGTGGCGTTATTATAAAGAACCACGAATGTCCTCAGAATCTTTCAGCATAATTTAATAACTTGCTTCACCTTTCAAATGACTTGCATTTTCAGCTGATGTCATCTACATGTTAGTAACACTTTACAATAAGATCTCATTACGTAACGTTAGTTAATGCATTAACTAGCATTCACAAAAGATGAGCAAGGCAAAGCAATTTATACCATAAAGCACAATTAAAAACAACAGTTAGTTGACCAATTTGCTGTACCAAACATAAAATATATGTGACTCTGCAGCACAAAAGCAGTGTTGAGTCGCTGGGGGATATTTGTAGCAATAGCCAACAATACATTGTATGGGTCACAATTATACATTTCTCTTTTATGCCAAAAATCATTAGGATATTAAGTAAAGATCATGTTCCATGAAGATATTTTGTATGTTTCCTACCGTAAATATATCAAAGCTTAATGTTTGATTAGTAATATGCATTGCTAAGAACTTCATTTGAACAACTTTAAAGATGATTTTCTCAATATTTAGATTTTTTTGCACCCTCAGATTCCAGATTTTCAAATATTGTTCGATCCTAACAAACCATACATCAACAGAAAGATTATTTATCCAGCTCATGTATTTTTAAAAAAGTGACCGGTTTTGTGTTCCAGAGTCACATAATAGTTCATAAAAATACAACTGTTTATTGTTAGTTCGTGTTAGGTCCATTAAATAATATAAACAGATACATCTTTTGATTTTAATAATGTATTAGTAAATGTTGAAATTAACATTGATTAAGATTAATAAATTATTTAGAAGTGTTTTACATGGTTAGTTCAAGTTAACTAATGTAATTAACACCTTTAACCTTATTGTAAAGTGTTACCAAACTGGCTGCTGTTTAAGTAATGCAGCATTTCTAAAATCATGCAGTAGTTCACACAGGTGTTTAATGCTGGTTAACCAGTCCCTCGCTGTTCTAGCTCGTACTGTTCTAAAAGATGTCTGGAACTTTGCATTACTAGCACTTCTCGTGTTTATTGCCTCTTTATGATGAATCGCTTGTTACAGCTACAGGAATAAAGCATCTAGTCACAGGATGTTATAGGATTTCATATCCGATGTGTTTCAAACAGAATGTTACCGAAGCTGAATGTGTTTCGTGACTCGTTGTGGTTTTACTGTTGATTATGATTCCTCTCTCTCTCTCTCTCTCTCTCTCTCTCTCTCTCACTCTCTCTCTCTCTCTCCCTC